CACAAAATATCATAAGTGGTCATATTCTTAAACTATCAAATGTTTTATAGTGACTTATTAAAAGCTTAACTGACATGTGTAATATTAGTGCAGTTTAGAGTGTGTGTATTCACTATTTTGGTTAGTTCACTATTGTTTTAAATAATGTTCATGTGTAATTAATTAATTAAAATATGAGTAATAGAGGAGAACATATTTATAAAAAATACGGACAACCTGTAATGAGTTAAATTTAATTGTACTGCTTTAATTTAATTTCATTAGTGACTATTTTATTTGTTGAATATTAATTATATAAAATGAATATAGAAAACTTAATTTTCATCGCTCAACCGTCTGTACTCGTCTTAGTTAATTTCAAGCCTCGGGTCGGATCGCGACACTCCAAAAATTTAACCACACCTTAAGTTCGTATCAGGTTCATGTTGATTATTGAATGGAATGGAAGGGAATTTAAACAAACAATTTGGACCAAATGAATTCACATTAGCCACAAAAAATTTCTTTCAATCAATAACTAAAAATCCAATTTTATAGCTTGAATCCCTATTTATAAAAAAAATAAAAGCTAGTTTTTCGAAACTTCTATTTACTAGCTTTGTTTGAAGAAAGATGAAAGCTTTCTAGTAGAATGTAACAATTTATATTAACATTTTCAGAAAAAAAGAACAAAACTAGATATTATAGGTTTTGGTACCCAATATAACCTAACTATTTCCCTAAAAGGAAAGTTTGTTGCATAAGAACTGTTAATAGTTTAAATTTTGAAATTGTGCATATATGGGTTTATTTCGAACGTCAAATTGTAACCCTAAAATTATTCAATCTACAAAACAATGTCTATTAATCAATTAATTAATTATGCATTTCAAAGCTTAGTTGTCAAAAAGAAAAATGAAGTCTGACGATATCAAATAATATCACATCATAATGCTTGAAAGTGAACATTAAGAATTTTTCATAAATAAACACCTTTGAGTTCACCTCATTCAACTCTTCACTAAAGTAGCAAAATGAGTGACCTTGATTACACCAAATGTATTCTATGATACCTCAAAAAGCCTTCTCAAAACCAATAAGTTTTATAACCGTTGATGTGGTTATCTATAACTTTATCTATTTGAAGGCTTTGGTAATAGATGGCATCCAACAAAAGTAGAACTATTTCCAAAGATGCATCAAAGAGGCATTAATAGTATTGAAGTTTTTAATAAATCATCTATAGAATGTATATAAACATGAAAACTCATAACATGAGAATGAAAGTAGGGACTTCTCATACCTTAACTTGCGCATTCATGACATAAATAATCAATATGCTTTGTCTAGATTGATCTACATATTAATATATCGTCAATGTATGCCAGTACAAATTTTCCAACAAATAATCAAAACATTTTATTCAATAATGGCATAAAGGCGCTAGGTGCATTAGATGGTTCATAATTCATAATAAGCCATTCACAGACCCTAAACGCTGTTTAAGTGATGTATTCCGTTCATCTCTAGGGTGAAACTACTTTTAATAGTATCCTTTGCGCAAATCAATTATTGAAAAGTATTATGATCAATGTATCATGCCAAGCACGCCATCCAATCTAGGCGCAAGAACTGTGTACTTTGTAGTGATTTTATGTATTATATGAGCATCAAAACAAATGCCACAAATTATCTTCTCCTTGTAATAACAATGCAAGGACAGTACATGGAGTTAAACTCTCTAATAGAAATCCTTCTTGAAATAACATTTAGCTAGTATAAAACCAACAATATGTTGGACACCCCTCATAAGACAAAGTTCATTGGGCAATTCATCGTAGCTATGTATCCATAGCCTGCAAATAATTCTCACAAATAGGAGGATAAATTTCAAGTGTACTTAACTAAAATAGTGTATAGAACTCAATATCCTCTAGAAGGCCTTTCTACAAAAAAACAAGTAGCCAAGACTGGATTGTGGTAAGATTTAAGCAGCGGAGGTCTTTAATAAATCCTCAAATGATTTAACCAAATCAAAAGGAATTAACAAAAAAAAAATTAAAGCTTATAGTTTCGCCATAGGGACTTGACTGGTAACAATTTTCATACGCGGCCTTGGCTTGAATGGCTGCTCAAATGAAGGCTCTGTAATCTTAGCAACGGAAAAAAAAAATTAATATATGTACCATTACTTAAAAAACATGTGTTTTCTCATCCGTAATTAATAAGATTTACGTCATAAATTTATGAATGGCCTAAGAGGATATGTGCAACCTTCATGAGGAGAACTTCACATTATATCTTGTCTTTGTAGCTATCGATATGAATAAGAACTAGAAAACACTTAATATCCGGTAAGCATGTTTGTTTCACCGAAGATACATGGAAAGGAATAGGATGTGATTGCACTTTTAAATTAACTCTAAATAAAGCTCCTTTTGATATAACATTCATGGAACTCCTGCCATCAATGATGCCAATTGCATATAATAGGAAAATACTACTATGTTTCCAATCCTCAGAAGTAGTTTGAATTGCCAAAAAGTATGTTACAGCATGCAATTGCGTTTTATTGTCATCAAAATCCTAAACATTCTCATCAGTTAGAGGCTCGATATCAATCGCATCCTCAAACTCAATTTCTTGTAGCTCATTGGAATTTGAAGTCCCGTGATCTATCAAAAAGATTAATTTGAGGGTATTGTTTGATGATATTTAATGACACTTGAAGCACGTGATTTTCAAAGTATTAATTGCTTTACTTGGTGTATATTATCTCAATTTTTAGTCTGAGATTTAGAAATATATAGCTTTGATTGATCTTATTGGAGTAAAATGATCAATTTAATATGGAATCTAAAGCATCAAGCCTACATGAAAGTGATTGACGGCCTATTAGACTATGATAGTAAATCGTGTAATGGAGGCTTATGATAATTTTCTAATTCAAAAGCCTTACGATAAGAACATTATAAAGTTATACGAACATGTTTCTAACCTCATGTCAGAATAAAAGCAGTTAAGAAATTTGGCAATCAATCACGAATCATCTTCAGAAATCTCATAGATTTATACAAAGCTCAAAATAATCAAGGTAGCCAATGACTTGAGTGAGCCACAAATAATGACTTTCATGGTGGAATGGAAAATATTGTTGCCTTAAAATTCATATCACCCCATCTCTAGTAGAGATAAGGGTAGCTTCCTAAAATTCAATAATAGAAAAGATATCCCAACATCATTTAGCTACTCTAATCAAATTTATTTCAAAAAATATAATACATTGCATGTCACCCATCCTGTACAAAGAAAATTGTTTTTTTTTTAATCTAAATCGAAATAACAACCAGCGTCATGAAGACCCTAAAAAGTGGGTGAAATTTAGAAGTAGTTAAGAGCACCCGACGAAAATTTGTTGAATAAGAGTTGTCATGTTTATGCAAATAAGTTTTCCACGGTTTTGTATAACTAGCAATATCAATCTCTAAGTTGCTAGAGCTTTGTCTAATTTCAATTTCTTATAATGCAACTCTTTTATCATTCTCAATCAGGTTATTAGTGATTTGCTCATTAAATTGATTATTTTGGACAAGATGCTCATCAAAATTGCAATAGACTTGCTACATGAATACAAACAGTACTGATGCAATATACAGGTGAAATCCTAATAGGATATCTAAAAGATAATACAAATCAATTTACTTGAAGCAGTTACTAACATATATCAATGCAAAAAATCAAATTTCTTCCACTATAAAATAACTCATTTCAGGGCCATTTAGCAATAAGTAGGATAGTATTTGATTGAGCACTTGATTTGCTTACTTGCAATTCTAATTGGATAGAATAAGCCGCAGGACATGCTATTTTGGTGCTATATCATCTATTACAAATATGCAATTCATCCTGAAATCAATAGATTATTCCTTCTCGCAAAAGGGTGTAAAATTAGAAATGACGGGGGCAAATGCAATTATGATTATGATCAGAGAGCGATCAAAAGGAGAGCAAAAATTGGGTTTTTTGGTGGGTGAAGAATTTACTATATTTATTTAATTATAGTATTTAGCATATCGCAGACTAGCCAAAACAGTCCAAGTTGCCATATGCAATTGCTCGGACTCTGCATTAACTATATGTAGTTCACAATACCTTTGGTATATTCCAGGTCTCTCTGCCCTCCCTTCATACCATCTCATTCTCTTTCAAACTTCCAGCTAAATCATCTATAACATTCCTTCTCCTAACTACCTTCATCAATCCAAAACTCACTCAATTCCTCATCAATTGAGCCACATATTTCCACCTAGTTCAACATCCAATAGTAAGGTCACTTTCATATTTATTTTAAAACACACTATTTTGCAAAGACATTTACTCGTACTTAAGTTGCAAAAATTTCAGCTTTATTGCATAAATGGTTGCATGCTAAAAAAATTGGAAAAAAAAAACAAGCTTCAAAGAGCCAAACCTAGGCCTAAAGAGAGTCAACTAATCCAACGCATCTCAATTAGGGAATTTCAAAGCTATGCTCCAGTTTTGGAACGTACAGATATTACCAATATAAAATATAAGCTTTATTTCCCATCAATCCTGTTACATTGGGTTTATAATATATGAAATTTCCTAGGTCAAGACATATGGTATCCTGACATAAAACTAAAATCCATGGATAAGCCCAACAAAGACTAGCAAACAATCATCATTCTAGCAACAAAATACAGGACAGGGGGGCAGCTCGCTTTTTTTTAAAAAAATACCATTGATTTATTTATACCAAGGGGTTCCACCATCATAAAAGAAAAGCACGAGATACATTTATCAGATCGAATAAAAATAATATCAGATGGAACATTAGTTACAAGAACTAAATAGACATCAAAAGAAAAGCAGGATTCATAAAATCAGCTCAAAATAGTTGGGCCAAGCCTAACAATGATGATGCTACTTATTTATCCCAATATCACTTATTAATATAGATTACCAGTTGCTAATTCTAGCTTCAAAAAGATATGGCATACTTATGAATACTTGCTTCGCCTCCAGTAAAATCTGAGGTTGCCTGCCATAGCGTATGCTTTCTCGGTTGAGGATTGGTTTCCCTGAAGAAAAGAGGTCGTCTAGCAAGCTAAAAGGATTTAAAAGGACTATTAGCAAAAAATAAGAAAAGCAGTAATGTTACAACAAATGCTTTTGCATCAAATTCTTACCACTATATCCAAAGTTGCAGGGCCATTATCTGGGCAAGTTGCCTTCAGTGCTGTAATATCTGACCATTGGATTTCAATCTTGTTCTTCAGTCCACCATCAAGGACCTCCCAGACAAGCTTATGTTTTGCATAGTAACACTTTGCAACCAAATCACCTTCATACCTTGAAACATACTGCTTAAATATGTCGATTAGTAATATGAAACTATGATATAATCAATGACTTGAGGAAAACTTAACATTCAAATGCATAAGAACTAATTATAGATCAAACTGAAATTCAAATGAAAAAAAAGATAAGCATTTGGTTTGATGCAGCAAGTTTAATACCCAAATTCGTACTTTAGTAGATATATGAATAACAATGAAAAAATAATACAAATACACGGGAAAATTTATTGCAGAACTCGGTGTACTTTCACTAAAATAATTGCTAAAAGGAGCATGCCTAATGCATTACACTTCCAACAATAAAGGTTCTATAGAGGGGTTAAAGTATTTGGTACTTTCGTGACTCAACCTTATAGCGTCCAAAATCTAAATAGAGGCCACCTTACCCCAGCTCTAAGCCCTAACTAAAATCAACGCTGAAAATACAGGATTATTTAATAGCATTGTTTTTTATTTTTTTTCTTTTGATTAATGATTGACTAGTTGCATACTATTTTTTTCACTTAATTAAGGAAAAAAATTGAAAAGTGCACCAACTTTTGAAGATGTTTTCCCGCCATAACTAGCAACATCTTCCTTTTCCTTGCATATTTTTTAGCATGACTTGATGGGTCATCTTTCGAAGATAGGTTAGATAAACAAAAACTCAAGAAAATGGTTTAAAACAGGGAATTTAAAAATTTTATCATTATCTTTCCATAAGCTATATGGTGTATAATCCATATCTCAAAGCTTGTCAAAATAGCAGTCAAAGTATACTTGCAACATTTGTAAAGACATTTCAATTATACCTATCTGCTAAGCAATTTCAATTATTGACCTTCATAACAAGGATTAAAAATTTAAAAAACTTGGATTACACCTACCATAAGAAACTGACAAAATTGTTGCTTTCATCAAACTACCAAAAAGCGGCACCTCAGGCTAAAAAATCTTCCATAATAAATGCTCATATAAGTTTTAGTAAATATTTTTATTCTTATTAGTAAAGTTGATAAATTGACTAGACCCCACATTACATACTATTAAACAATGCATATCTTGCTAATAAAAAGAAGTATTGACACATGCATAAAAAAAAACTTACATAATAAAAAGTACTTGTGCTCCATTTTCTTCTCTAAATTTGAGACAGTGCCTTTGCTTTCAAAATAAAAGAAATTAATTATGTTCTTAGGATGATGAGAGTAATAGTTACTAAAGGTTATGGAAAATAGAGTAAAGAGATCTGCTTATTTGAGTATGTACAAATAAAAAATGAAATGCACCAATAAAAGAAGTACAAAGTGGTTATTTGATCGACCGCAAAAGAAGTGCATTGCATACAAATTACGGAAGAAAACAAATTCAGTTAAAATTCTAATGTCTTGTGAATTCGCACTATAGTTTATTTTCAATGTATTTGAAATTCACTAATTTGGACGAATTTCAAATACTTTGATTTGTATAACATTGACGCGCAGCAGTCCACCGCCTGCCACCGCTGCCCGTCACAACTGTCGCCGTCGGTGCTGCCATTTTGCAAACTGCCCCTACAGGCTGCCACCAACGTCGACCTTGATGGTTTTATTTTACATTGAATACATTTTCCTTCAAACCAAATAAGAAATTTTAAAGTTTTACATTTATTTTATACAAAATGAAAAAACTCTAAATTATTTCAAATACAATACATTACTTTAATATTGCATTTCTATTACACTGCGTTCTTTTTTCACTAAACCAAACAGCTGCGTTCTTTTTTCACTAAACCAAACAGCCCCATAATATAACATCAAAATCTTATAAAGGAAAATGAGAAGATGAAGGTAACACGGATAAAAGTTTTTCAGCAAAGTAAATTTAGCACCCACAATACACAACAAAAAACAAATGGAAAGAGTGAAGAGTAATCAATATAAAAGCTAGTTATGATGAAAATAATCCCAAAAGTTAAGAGAAAATGAAAGACTAAGTACAAATAATATTGAGCTATAATCTCTGCAAAATGCATGTAACTCTAAGGGTGAAGTGTAGCAAGACCCGAAGAAGATCGATAGAAAAGAAATTTTTCGAAACCAAAAAAAGACATTTATTAAATGGGAATAAAGGAAGTTGGTGATGTCATGCTGATCAGGAAAAAATTGATACCCTAGTTGCGAAGCTATACAGTACCAAATTGATTTACCCTAATCAATTTGGCTTGAAGACAGTGATGATCTCATTCTCAACAAGGACATTAGACCAATGTGAGAAAGGTTAAAATACGTTATCTTTTTTCTGTACAGATGTTTACAATAAAAATAAGCATCAAAATTAAGGCAAAAACAATAAGATAAATACATCAAAATTTCATAGCAAAAACTAGCAATTAAATCATAACACAAGTCTTGAGATCGTTCAACCGGGTGTTAGTAATGTGACAACCTATTCACATAATGAGAGAATGCAGAAAGAAGAAACACAATGCCCAAGAGCGAAAGAGACATGTAATGCATTGTGGAAGACATTCAGTTAAATGGATACATGGATAATAAAATCAAGTGCATCCTCTTATTTTTCTTCCAATAAGACACTGATGATAAACTACTGTTCAAACAATGCTCCGTATTGAAGTCTAGCCCTTGAATGGTATAAGCATTGAATATGTGATAACTGAGATAGGTAGTGGCAAAAGGCAAAATTTAAAAACTGAACTACGTAAGATATATAAACCTAATATGTTCAAAATCAGAATAAAGCGGAATATTTTTATTGATATGAAAGAGGGTATAAACAACCCTTACATAAATCCTTTAATATGAAAGACAATAAAAAGAAATAACAAAAATGGAAAGATATAATACTTAATATCTTCAATTAATCAATCCATATTAATTATTTGGAGATAAAAGAAACAACATAAAATATAAAAGTCTAAAATAAGAAAGGAAATAAATCTAATCCAAGAAAATAAATCTAAAATAGGAAAGAAAATAAAAATATCTTAGAAAACAAATCTAATCCTCATAACTTCTAATAGTAATAAATTATTTCCTAATATAACTTCTAACACACCCCTTCAAGTTGAAACATGGTTGAAAATCATGTTCAACTTGGATTTGGAAACATCAAATAATGGACGGGGAAGATCCTGTGAAATAGAACTTAAAGTTTTTATCATGTATTGCGGTTATCTTTAATTGCAGTTCATGCAGTGTATGTAGGTAGTCGGAAGGCTCATATAGTTAATTTTGTAGGGAGTAGGGAAATAGACAGCCTGCAAAAAACGCTGACTTCTAGTTAACTGCAGTTCCTACAGTATTTGTAGGTAGGCAGAAGACTCCTGCAGGTAATGCTGCACGATAGATTGCAGAGAATTAGACAATCTGTAGAAAAAAACTGACTCCTAATTTACTGCAGTGTCTGTAGATAGGCATAAGGCTTCTACAGGTAATGATGCAGAGGAGTTTCCAACAAAGGAGACAATCAACCTGAAAAACTACAAGGTATGCCCTGTATAAAAAAAATCTCCGGAGGTAGGCCTTGCTACAGGAAAAACTCCTGAGTAGGGCCTGATACAAAAAAAAACTCTGGAGGAGAGCCTGTCACAAGACAAGCTCTGGAGAAGGGCCTGTCACAGGAAAGACTCTGGATGAGGGTCTGATGGAGGAAAAAGTTTCAGAGGAGGACCTGCTACAAGAAAAGCTCCAAAGGAAGAGGCTCTGCACTAAGGAGGGCATGGAACAGGATACTTTCAACTGCAAAGAGAGTTCCAATGGTAAATGAAAAATAGAGGACCTGCATGGAGTTTTAGGCAGTAGAGAAGAAACAATAGAGAAGGGCATGTAAGCCGGCTGCTCGGATTCCATTCAAAGATACATCCAGCCTTGTCTCTGTAATAAACTTTCTCAAGTCATTTTGAAAGCAAATCAAAGATGAACTCCTCTGTAATAAGCTTCTCCTCGTTTCCACAATCTACGCATGTGAAACGACGAGGATGTCTCAGAGGCGGCTGCAGGAATTTACGGCCGGCGAGAATTTGAGGCCCGCGGGAAGGTGTCGATAAAGTCTACAGGGAAGTTTTCCAACCGACAGAGATGATTTTGGCTGTTAGGAACCTGCAAAGAAGAGGTCCAGCTGCCTAAAATCAGCAGAGGTAGATATCATATCATTGATCCTTGAACCCACAAGACAGCATTTCATCTGCCTCATCCAAAACAAACATTTTGATGTAGTCAGGAGGAAGAGACTACCTCCTTAACATGTCAAACACACGGCCAGGCGTGCCAACAACCAAATGAACACCGCTAGAAAGTATTTCCCACACAAGCATGAACCTTCACATTGAGGTTATCACCAAGTGCACATATAACATTTTCAATTTGCTGTGCCAATTTCCTTGTAGGAGCAAGAACTAAAGCATAACATTCAACCAAACTATAATTGAGCTAGTGCAGAACTCCAGAAAAAAAAAGTGGCGCATTTGGATCATGTAGTACAAGATCATCCTTCAAACCTTTATCAACCGCCATGGATAGAACCGCGTCAGAAGGAAGCCCTCCTCCCAGAGGTACCCATTTCTCTACATGGTAAAGATGTTCCCGCCACCGCGATCCCGAGCCTCCGTTAATAGAATCTCAGGAACCGCTTCGATGTGTCATGCCGCCAGCATCTTTGCAGTGCAAATGTCGTGATTCCCCCGCCAACAACAATTTAGTCAACGAAGATTCGACTATTGGGGGAACTATCGTCGTCGTTGCGGCCAACCAATACTAACACCTCACTCGTCATGGAGCAATGGACAAGTTATCTAGGAAGACAACGGCGAAAGCATTCGCGACCAGTGACAACGGGTCATGGCGGTTCAGTGAAAATACAGATGGAAGGTGCGACCATGAGAACGAGACCCTACTGGTGCAAATCCAACCATTTTCTGCTTGTGAGAAGATAGATGTGAAAGAAAGAAAATATGTTGCCGCAATTTGCTGCAAACAAATGAAAAGGCAACTGGTTGTAGACTAGCAGATGAAGTTTGGAAGGGAACAACTACTGAAATGACCCATGGCTGATCCTTCAAGAAACCAACCGAAGGAAAGCCTGCAAGGAAACCGACAACTACACAATAGAAGAAAAAACTGCAAGGAATGTAAGTCACAAAAAAAAAAAAAAAACTACATGGAAGATGTCAGCGGCTAAGTAGTTGCCCAGACAATAGCTAAGATTCAATCATACGAAGGGCCTGAAGCACGGCAAAGATTGTCCGTTGTAGGAAATGAGTTTTCAGCAGCAAGGGACTAAGTTTTTTTTTTTTTTTTTTTGCTCTGATACCATCTTCAAATTCATAATAAAGCAGAATATTTTTATTGATATGAAATGAAGTATAAATAACCCTTACATGAATACTAGAAAAGGAAAAATAATAAAAAGAAATAACAGAAAAGAAAAGTTATAACACTTAGAGTTCGTTTTGGAGGGTCGGGTGGCTGCGGCGCGGTCATTTACAACGGCTAGTTGGTAAAGTTCGTTATTTGGTTTGTAAATTCACGGAAAAGCTTCGACAAAGCTGAGAGAAAGTGGGCCACAGGATTAACCCCGCAACCCCGCTTTCGCCCCGATACTTTTACCCTTTACCCCGCATTGTTTTGCTCTGGATTGGTATTATGGTATTCGTGATGTCATGATCCTGGCACATTAGTATTGCGATGATCTTTGAGGCTATAATATGTGGTTGTGGGGAGTGAAATATTCATACATGTAAATATATTGGTTTAAATTTCTTATTAAAAATTCTATAATAGTTAAATTTATATATATATATATATATATACACACACACACACATATGCATATATATAAATATGTATATACCAAATATTTTAATTTATTCCATAATAATGATTACTTTCATATATTTACATATATTAATTAATTTAATATATAAACATATAAATTTATAAACAGTTTTAACAAACAGGGGCAGCAAAGTCATTTCTCCAAAAACAACTGCCCCACAGCTGTTTTTACACAGTTGCACCAAACAGGCAGTCAGCTTCCCCGCAGCTACTTCCCCGCAGTAGTTTTCTAGGGCAGCGCAACTGCAGCTGAAAAATTGAGAAGCTGCAGTTGCGCCAAACAGAGCCTTAATACCTCCAACTAATCAAATCAAATTAATTATTTGGAGATAAATGAAACAATATAAAATAGAAAAATAAATAAATCCAATCCAAGAAAATAAATCTAAAATAGAAAATAAAATAAAATTATTAAGAAATAAATCTAATTCTCATAACTTCTAATAGGAATAAATTATTTTCTAATATAACTTCTAACACAATATATATTAGATAACAAGCTGCAGAAGGATGCAATGTCGCCTTAACATTGATGTATGGAAAGTAGACGCAGTAGGTATTGCTAAAGAAACAAAAAAATCACTCTTTACAACAACACCAACATAAGAACAATACAAGCTACCACTAATACAGATTACAGATTGAAATCTATGGCATTAAAGGCTAGATAAGATGAACAACCAAGGCCTAACGATTCTTCATTGTATATGTAAAATTCTAAATTTAAATCTATTAAATTCACATTTTGTGAAATTTGTATTCTAGAAGAACAAAAAGGGGTTACTTTCTCAAAGAACGAGAGAGTGCTCAATCCAAAAGGAGAGCCAGTGCAAAGAAATGTAAAAGGACATCTCTCTTTATTTATTTAAGATAATTCTTGTAATAAATTGCCTTCAATGATGACTAACCCAGAAGATATGAGTTTATCTTATTAAAAATAGTTCTACAACATTTACAAATTAATTGAAGTAGAAGAATCTGATCGAGAATATGTGTTTATGCAGCCATGAAAGTATGTAGATCTCAACAAACCGCATAATCATGGTGTCGAGTGTTTGAGATGCTTGGTGTATTTCTTCTCCATCTTTATTTGGTTTTACTCAAGGTTTTATCACAACCTAAATAACTGAAAGCTAAAAATCAGGTATTTCTTAGAGATCATTATATAGGCTTAAGCAATCATCAAGAATGTTAAACATAAAGTTTAAAGATTATATGTCAAAGATTGATTTTAGAAGAAGTGATACTGATGGTTGTTTTTATTAAAAGAATCATGGAGTTTTAAGAATAATTTATCTCCGGTTATATGCTGATGACATGCTTATTGCAAGTAAGAGTATAGAGGAAAAAGTAAAAAGAATGGAGGATTTTAAGTAGCTTATACAGAACTTTCATGGAATTTAGATAAAGAGAGATAAATTTTTTAAAGAATTATTTCTATCCCAAAATTCTTACTTTAAAAAGTTGTTTAAGACATCTAAAATATAGAAATAAAAAACCTAAAGTATTATTTCTATCCCAAACTCCTTACTTGAGAAGGCTAGCTAAGAGGTTTAGAATGCAAGATTTAAAAAATGTTCCAACACCTTAGACTCTGCATATAAAGCAAAGTAAATGATGATGCTGCATCAAATGATGATAGGAGATGATAGGAGATGATAGGAGGATGCACATGCTGTGGATATCTGACCATAATGCAATTAGGATCATTATGTATGTAATGGTTTGTGCAAATCTGATTTGGCACATGATCCTAATGTGGTTAGCAATTGTAAGCCTAAATCATTAGGAGGCAGTGAAATGGATTTCAAGGTATCTCAATGGAACAAATGAACTGGTCTCAAGATACACATGTGGCTCCACATGAAGGTATAGCAAAAGGGTACATAAATTTTGATTTACTGCAAATGTGGAAACTAGAAAGTAATTGATTGATTTTGTGTTTAAAGGCTTTCGAAACACAACCAATTAAAGATCTTATTTGCAGTTTTTAGTGACACTATCTAATATAGAACAAAAATGCATGGTCCTGCTTGAAGCTATAAAGCAAGCCCTTGTGATAAAAGAGTTGATGTTTAAGCTTATCTGCAGTTTGTGGTGGCTCTATCTCCAATAGAATGAAAACACATAGTTGTGTCTGAAGATGCAAAGCAAGCTCTTTTGATAAAGGAGTTGATGTATAAGCTAAATAATCAAGATGTTTTACATACACAGGCTCTATTGTATGGACAAAACCACTATTCTAAGCACTCTAATAAAAGTATTAGTTAAGAAAAACTAAACCTTCAAAAAATAAATAGGATGCACCATAAGATGTAGTTACACAAATAATATATTGAAAATTTCAGAAACATAAACTCTCCAATGCATGTCAAATACAATTCAAGAAAAAAGCAAAAGAAAATGTAAAAACATGAAAATATTTGAATATTAGACCTGCTTTCCTTACCTCCCAATTCCCAATCCTTAGAATAGAAGCAGGAAAGTTTGAGGCTTTCATCTTGTCAAGACTGCCTGAAACAGCTGTAGATTTCAGTTCCTTCTTTTTCCCGATCTCTAAGCCTGTGCTTGCAGCAGATGATGTTGAAACAGAATTTTCCTCATAAAGCCTCATCTGAATCATATCCAAGAAAGAAGGGCTCTTCTTTAAACGCAGACCCAGCGGGCTGGGCTCATCTAGCGGATCATAAACTGCACGTGGAGGCATAACTAGCTTGCTTTCCAGCTGTTATAGGTGAAAAAAGCATTCCAATTAACCTATTACCAAAACACCTCCAAAGATAATATCATGAAAACAGAAAACGAAAATCAATTAAGGATACAAAGAACTGAGAGAATAACACTAAATTTTTAATTGGAAACCAAATTTTACTTAATAGTCTGTTCAAGTATCTCATCCACTACTGAAAAGAGCATCTTATATGCAACATATTAAAAAAAACCCCTTCAACAGCAACATCAAATTCCTAAAGACTGACTGAGAAATAAATAAATAAAATCCAAACAAGAAGAAAAAAAAAAGGAACTAAAAAGCGCCAGTAATCACATCTACCAAACCAGACAAAAAAAAAATCAAACTCCCAATCGAGATTCAGACCAAAAAAAAAAAACATGCACGGAATCAAACAGAGAAACCTACAACCCGCCAAATCTTCGGAAGAGGAAACCGGAATACCTGTTCCGCCCCCTCAACCATCTTTAATCTCTTGTCAACAGGACCATACATTTCATCCAAGGGGTCCTCGATCTCCGTCTTAACCGTCTCCGGCGCCTCCAGCATCGCCGTGAAGTGCTCTTTCGACTCTGACCGGAGCTTGCCGAAATTCGGCAGCTGAACCATTTCAATCACTAAGCTAACAAAACGATTCCGTTTCCTCTTAGACAGAAACTAACAGCAAAAAGAGAGAGAGAGAGAGAGCCTGCCCTAACCCTAGGAATCGAGCTGCGTCGGAGAAACAGAGGAGGAAGGAAGCCGGTAGAAAACTTTTTTTTGCGGAGACCTTTTTCCTTAATTTACTGATTTGAGAGGGTCTATATTTAAAAATGCCACTTGACAGTGGGACGGACTCGCACGCCCCCCACTTGCCCATTTTTCTTGAATGGTGTGCCGCGAACAGTATGTTTGCGCACGTGGCAAAAGCAGGTCGCGTTGGGAGTGGGACCCAGTACCCCGGTACCGTGGCGGCGTGGATAAGGCGAAGATTGGGACGGAGATGGTGTGTCGAAGGACAGCGAGGATAGAAACTCCACTTTGTGACCAGCGATGTATTTTTATTCTTTAAATTAATATTTTTATTTATTTTTTTATTTTTATTTTTTAGAGGTTGGGCCTCTAAAGTAGTGTAAACGAGCTGAATATGAATAATTATATATTTAGTGTAAATGAGCCTATTATAAATAACACTTACTCTGGATATTTTTTTATGTCTACTTTGATTTAATCATATGTTTAGTTTTAATTACTCGATGTCTCCACCAAGTATCTTTTATCGATATTTTCCATCTTTTGGAGTTTTGATGATCTTCTTTTATTCTGGAAAATTACTCAGTGTTAGATTTCTCATTTGTTAGCCACCCTTATGTGTGATTCAAATTTCAGATATTTCCATTTAGCGTTTTGTTAGGTTTGAATGTTTGATACTTCTATTTGTCTTTTCTTTTTTTTTTGTTCCAAGATAAATAGCTCTATACCACAGGCTAGATGCAATGATTTTTCTTCTCTCTCTTTCAGATGAATATGTTTAGAGCTTTTCTTAGTTTAAAAATCTTCATTTATCATTTGCTATTAATTCCAATGTTTTCTATTTATTGAAGTTGAATCTACTAGTCGATCTAAACATCCTAACATTGTGAAAAAAAAGAAAAGATAATGTAGTTTTCATTAGAAGCCAAACTTCATAGTTAGTTGCTTCATATATCAATGACCCTAGCACATCACAAGCAACTTCTATTCAGTAAGTCATGTGAATTCTTTAAGAAACTCTAAAAATTTATGAAGACATGTCCTTTTACTTATTCTCTATAAAATTGTTTGATGATCCGACTAGGAAAGTGTTCTTTAGATTGATGGCCCTTGGTCGTGGGATCAATTACTTGCATTATTTCTATCACAACCGAGATGCAAGAGTTTAATTCTATTTGTCAGGCACTTTATACTTTTTTTTTTGGACGTGTTATATGCTACTTTCAGTATGCTTGAATTTTATTTGTAGGATATATTTTTTGTTTTAATATGCTTTAGCTAATTTAGAGTTATTTATAAGTGATAGCTGCATCAACATGAATGACATGGATAGATAAAGACGTGAATTTAAGTTGTGTTATGCTTAATTTATGACTACTACAATTCATATATGGCTCGCTTTCCTTGCATGATCTACCTACATTGGTGATAAGTGAGTTGAAGAGTTGATTGAGGGTAACCCGATAATAATTAGCAATATATTCATCGATCTATTGAAAGAACTGCACAGGAATCATGGATTTCATGGCTCCTTCAGGATGACTTTCAGAGACGTGTTAGCAATAAATAACGCTCTACATTTTATCACAGAATGAATCTAAGAGAAGAGTCATGGAGTGATTCCACCACTCATCTAAAAAGATCAACATGTATTTTTCAGTTAGTTTGAATGCTCTGGTTAGTTTATCATTAGAAATCATGAAAATCGAAGACCCAATATTCCAAATGACCCTCATACAGATCTCACAGGACCTCCATTATATGTCATACTTTAAGGTAAATCAATGCATTCATACTTACAAGAATTTAATTGAATAAAGTAATTCAAATGCTTTTGTTAAGTGCTTTAGGATTGCATTGGGACGATTGATGGAACACATGTGAATGCACGTGTGTCGAATAATAAAAAGATCGTATTCATCGGGCGATGCGGTTCACGAACACAAAATATCATGGTTGTTTGTGACTTTAACATGTGCTTCACTTTTGCTAAGACCAGATAGGAAGGAAGTGCTCTTAACAGTCGGATATTCAAATTTTCCACAAAAAATCAAAAATATAACTTTTTGCACCCACCCTCAAATAAATATTATTTGGTAGATGTTGAATATCTCTTACAGAGAGGGTTCCTCAAACCATTTCTTGATCACAAATACCATATTCCAGATTTTGAAAGAGTTAGCAATATTGTCTAGGGAAGGAAAGAGATGTTTAACAAGAGACGCCCATCCTTACGTGGTGTCATTGAAAACACTTTTAGAATTTGGAAGCAAAAAAGTGCAGATTATGATCGTTACAATGACTCTCCACAACTACATTCAGTGACATCATTCATGTAGTGACATTGACTTCAACAGGGCAGATGAATATCATTCATATGTCCCTATTGAAACATATGAATATCACCTCAAATAACATATATCACAAGCAGAAAGTGATTTGCCTGAGCCTTGTCTGTAGGAAGAGAAGGGTTCCATGAAGATGATATAATTGAGATAATGAATCACAAATGTCATCATTAGTGATTGAAAGGATTTTGTATGTTTCATTGTTATTAGTTTATTCGCAATGTGTTGTCAAAAAAAAAATTTGTTTACCGGATCGACCATTTATGGAATGATGTAAATTTTGAATCTCAATCTCAAGGACCTTTTATTTCTAGTTCTTTTGTATGTATTTTTTTTCACTTGGATGGCTAACGAGGCAACTGTGAGTATAATATATAATGTAAATTTATTTTTCATGTTTTATTTCTTTGTTTTGGAGATCTATGATGAGATATTCGACCTTATAAGTTTTTTTGGATGGCCTATATGTTGTTATTAGTTCTTTACACGTGTGAAATCACAATGAAGACAACCAAGTTTCTCCCTTTTTCAGTCCTTATGAGGTTCTTATGGATGACTTTTTTTGTCGTATGCATATCTAGCACATATAAGCTCGGTATTACGTGGTTTAAAGGCAACCAAATACTCATATTTTCTTAAAACCTATTGTCTTCTTATATTGACAAATTCACTAGTTTATACTCTGTTCTCTAAGATCTCACAGTTTCACATAACTTGAATTGAGTATTTCTACTATTCTTTATTACTAATGTTGCATCTAAGGGTTTGTGCACTATAGTTTTAAACCTTTAGAAAAGATGAGCTTGATGATTTATAGTACCTCCAAAGCATTATACTACTACTATGGACTACAATATTCCCTAGTTATTTCGCGAAAGCCACCTAGCTATCAGATATAATTTTATAGGTGCCTAAGGAAAAGAACAGAGAACTATGACTTCTTTAAGAGGACAGATCAGTACGAGAATTCTACTGCCAATAGTGATCAGACAATGAGAGTTTTGTTAAAGTAAGGATTATCTTGTGACATTTATCAACTGCATTTTAAAAAAAATATTATCATATTATTAATTGTATTTTAATAGTTCTTTTTTTTATTTTTTTAGCTGTGTTACTCACCATTTTGTGAGGTTTCTGTTTCTATTATGTAGCATTCAAACTATATATTTATTTTCACGTATAAAATGTGCTAAAAAGATTAGTTATGTTGTAAACAACAATATACTACATGGGCAGAAATGTTATTTGTTCAGAAACAGCCGCAACACAGCTACTGCAAAGCTGCAAAAAATAAATAAACAGTCAGCTTCTGCGTAGCAGCGTCTTGGCACAACTATTGTGCAATAAATTTTTAATAAGCAGCAGCTGCTCCAAATAGACCCTAGAACTTTTCCTACTTTAGAAAGTTTACTTGTTATTGTTGGAACGATACACGGGCTCGTTATCTGTAAATTGCTTAATTGACATGCATACTTCTATGATTGTTGGCGCTTCACAACATTTCAAGCATCAGTGATAAACCACTTAAGCTGAATTATGATAGCTAGCCCTCTAAGTTGACTCCTTGTGGTCGGTCCTCCATGGTTGAACTGTAGTGTTCAACCTCTTGTGGTCATCCTATCATGGTTGAGCCCCTGCAGTTAGCCTCTCATATAAATGCCTCATCGATCCTTCTTTGAACCTCTGATGTCCCGAGTCATTAATGTTCTCTATGCCTCAACACAACTGCTCGAATGGTCTTTTGTTGTCGAGTGAAGTAAGGAACATTTGCTCCCTGTTTATTCGAGAAACTTCCTTTTGGTTGCATGCAAATGATCTAGCATGTTTATAACAAAATCGAGGGCTCAATGAGAGGAAACTAAAAAGTCTAAGATTACTTAATTTTAAGGTTGTTAAGAAGCTTAAATATTAAAAGAATAATTTCTTTTTAAATACATCAATATGGATCAACCGATGAAATATTCTGAGATTTTAGTTAAATTTATTAAAGTGTCACTCTCTAAATATTATATTTAGGAACAAATTTTCAACATGAAGGAGGATTAAAGAGCTAAGAGCTAAATCTAAACTCATGAAGAGAACTGAAAGTCTCGAGCACCAGCAATCATTTTTAACCATCTCTAATAGTTATTGTAACCCAATTGATATCATACGACATTTATAACATGACTACTATTTCCAAGATGTTATTTTCTAATCTTTATCACTTAACTGTCATTATCACCGGACAATTCCCAATAGAGAGACAAATTAAGTATTTATAATTTTATAATCTCATATTCTCTAGTATAATGAAACTCTATAACTTTAACTATATTTTGGACCTTTTTTATTGGAACATATCACATGGTCATTTCTTTTTTTAAGCTTTCCACGTAAAAATCTTATTGTATCTTATCACTTTTATTTTTTATATATGTTGGATATTTCTGTAGAGGAAAACTTAATTTGTCTCCATCATTGAGAATTTTTTTAGTGCACAACTAGTCTAAAAACTAATAATCATAATTTGTTCTCAATTAATTTATAAAAGTTTTTAACCAAATTAATATGCCAATAAAAAATTTTCGTCATTTGCACAAATCTCGAGGCAACTTTTTTAGCAAGAAATATTCAAAAATCCATTAAAAATCATCCAATGCTTTAATTTTAACAAACTTATAGCCAAACTAAATAGGTCAATGAGACGAGCCCAATGATAT